GGTCCAAGTGACTGCATTTGGGGCCAGCCCAGATAATTCGTAACAGTCTTCTCATCTTAAAATCCTTAACATAATTACGTCCACAGCATCCTTTTTGGCTCCCTAAGGTAGCACTGGCAGGCTCCAGGGATTAAGATGTGTTTTGAGAGATGTTATGCAGCCTCTTCCATTCTGGCTTGCAGGTTATCAATTGTATTGATTTTCCCAAAGAACCAGTTTTGGGTCATATTGATTTTTCTCTGTTGTCTTCCTCTTTTCTCTTACATGCATTTCCATTCTAATGTTTGCTATTATTTTCAGCTTGGGCCTTCTTTGGGCTGTTGCTCTGAGTTGGCCAAATTTTGCACACCATGTTTCTTCTTCTTCTTCTTCTTCTTTTTTTTTTTTTTATTTTGACAGGCAGAGTGGACAGTGAGAGAGAGAGACAGAGAAAGGTCTTCCTTTTGCTGTTGGTTCACCCTCCAATGGCCGCTGTGGCCGGCTCACTGCGCTGATCCGATGGCAGGAGCCAGGTGCTTCTCCTGGTCTCCCATGGGCTGCAGAGCCCAAGCACTTGGGCCATCCTCCACTGCACTCCCTGGCCACAGCAGAGAGCTGGCCTGGAAGAGGGGCAACCGGGACAGAATCCGGCGCCCCGACCAGGACGAGAACCCGGTATGCCGGCGCCGCGGGCAGAGGATTAGCCTAGTGAACTGCGGTGCCGGCCCCCACACCATGTTTCTTACCCCGCTGGTTTCATATTCTGTTCAACTTCCATCATTTCTTTGACCCATTTGGCTTCCAGTACAGAGGGACATTTTCCAGTTACTGATTTCTCTTGAGTTTTATTATATTCAGAGAATGTTCTTTATATGGCTTGACTTCTTCTCAGTGAGTCAAGACAGGTTACGGAGCTCAGCTCATAATCTGAGTTGGGTACGTGTTCCCAGGCATTGACCATCAGTTTGCTCTTGGGAATGTGTGTCCTGCCGGTGTGTGGTGGAGTGTTATCGAAACATTAGCTGCTGGGTCAAGTGGATGGGTTGATGGTGCTGCTTATGCCTCTGTACCCGTGCTGGTTTTCAGTCAGTGACTGAGAACGGAGTGATGGAATCTCGTGCACGTGGGGTTTCCTCTTTCCCTTTGCAGTTTTCTCAGTGCTTGTTTTGTGTAGTCTGTAGTTTCTGATAAACGTCGAGCCGTATTGTGACATGTCAGTGAAGTGATTTCTCTGTCATTACAGATGGTATTTCCTATCATGTCTTGGGCCCAGTCATTTTTCACTGTATACCCAACATCACAGATTTTATCTCATTTTGAACTTTGCTTTGTGATGCTAATCATCTGCTGGAAACCAGTTGGGTTTCTCCAAGCTGTTTTGGATGAAACCCACGCTGTGCTGAGTGCGTCACTGCGAAGGCAGATCCCTCCCGAGTGCTCTGCTGTCCACGCCGGCATCCTCACCGTGGTTTATAGAGGAGCCCTGCACAGGCTGCTGCCATGGATTTCTCCAGGCCTGTCCAGTGGCTCTGTCTGTTGCCTCCGGCAGTTTCCTGGACACATCTGCTCATCAGCTGAATGCCAGCAGGGCCTCTGAAGATCTCCAGGGCTCTTGTTCTCTCCGAGTCTCTCCTCCCCGTGACGTCTACCCCTTGGCATCCCTGTACACTGAATTGCGTGCTTTCCCTTCAAGGAACCCACCAGGGTCTGCCAGGTGTAGGGCTCACCTCCTCTTTGTCCAGATCTCACCAGGCATCCACCATTCCATGGGCATTCAGAGGTTTCCTGCGTTTAGGGGTAGCTTTGTAGTTGTTTGATGTAGGAACGTCATGCTGGCAGGAGAGATCCAGAACTGAAACTCTGTACACACCAGGGCCTGGCGTGTTTGAATGACACTCGAAGGCATTCTGTAGGCCCAGCCGGCTTGCAGCTCTGCACAGCAGTGGCTGCCCATCCCTGCTCCCAGACCCCAGCCTCACCTGGGCCGCCCAGGAAGGCGAAGACCATATTGTCTTTTAAATCTGTTGCTTCCATGTGTATTCATCCCATGTCCTTTATTTCTTTTTTAATAAATCTTTTTTTTTATTTTTTTAAATTTTTTTTGACAGGCAGAGTGGACAGTGAGAGAGAGAGAGAGAGAGAGAGAGAGAGAAAGGTCTTCCTTTGCTGTTGGTTCACCCTCCAATGGCCGCCGTGGCCAGCGTGCTGTGGCCGGCGCACCGCGCTGATCCGAAGCCAGGAGCCAGGTGCTTTTCCTGGTCTCCCATGGGGTGCAGGGCCCAAGCACTTGGGCCATCCTCCACTGCACTCCTGGGCCACAGCAGAGAGCTGAACTGGAAGAGGGGCAACCGGGACAGAATCCGGCGCCCCGACCGGGACTAGAACCCGGTGTGCCGGCGCCGCAAGGCAGAGGATTAGCCTAGTGAGCTGCGACGCTGGCCTCATGTCCTTTATTTCTAATCTGTGTTTGCACTGTGTGGGAATTTGGGTGTTTCAAAGCCACACGTTTGGAAGAAAATTTTGTGTGAAATGCTTGTTTATACAAATTGTTTTGCATTTATGAAAGCAAAAGAAACATAAATAGAGCATGACATTTTAAATTTTCACTTATGAACATTCAGCCAATTAATATATTCATGTTTTTTCTTCTGCCTCACAGCTTGTGTGATATAAAGATTAATGATAGCTTTCATTCGCGGAGTCAGTTTTACTGCCTAATACAGCTAGGTTTATGATTTTAAAGGAAGGAAGTTCTTTAATTTTCTTCATGCATAATCAGATGTGCAGCTGCTCTGACCAAAATTTATCCATTAAAGCAGATCCAGTCTTGGAAGCACCATTGTTCACTTTAAATAGGAAATGCGAGCCAGGAGAAAATCTATATTTTTTATTTAAACCTGGGAAACAGTGTTTATGTGAACATTTAAACATGAAGGCTAGTCAGACTTTGATCCTAATTTGTTCATTTTCTTTGTCTTCGGCCATCCCAAGTTAAATTGCCTCCCCCGAGCTTCGGCTCACGCAGCAGTCTGGGAAAAGTAGGTGCAGCTCTCCAAAGACTGGAGTAGGAAAGCTTAGTTGCTAACCTAAAAAAGTAACACAGTGAAAGGTTTTCATCTGGTGTCATTATGTCGTAGTTTACCCTTTTTCCATGGTACACAGGCACAGGGTGTTTTTTTATTTAATGAGGCTCTAGGATTGTGGGAAAGGGTGAGATGTTGCTGTGCCGCGGGAGCCTTTCTCTTGCAACTCGGCCAGCGACGCCTGTGTCTGCAGCAAGCCCGCCCGTCTGTCGCTTGCACTGCTAATACAGAGATGTTCCAGCAGCCCTCTCAAAATCTGCTCATTTCACTCAACCTCTTTTGGGAGAGGGGGGGTCCTTTAATTTTTTCATTTTTTTTTTTCATATTTTTCTTCCCCGCCCCGACCAGGCAGAAGTGGACAGTGAGGGAGGGAGACAGAGAGAAAGGTCTTCCTTTGCCCGTTGGTTCACCCTCCAATGGCCGCCACGGGCCGGCGCGCTGCGGCCGGCGCACCGCACTGATCCGATGGCAGGAGCCAGGAGCCAGGTGCTTCTCCTGGTCTCCCATGGGGTGCAGGGCCCAAGCACCTGGGCCATCCTCCACTGCACTCCCTGGCCACAGCAGAGAGCTGGCCTGGAAGAGGGGCAACCGGGACAGAATCCGGCGCCCCGACCGGGACTAGAACCCGGTGTGCCGGCGCCGCTAGGTGGAGGATTAGCCTAGTGAGCCGCGGCGCCGGCAAGGGATGTGTGGTTCTAATAACGCTTCGCTCGCCTCCAAGGCAGCTTGACACCTCTCACACCGTCCGCCTGCTTTCTAAACAGGCTGTCCCCGTGTCTCTGAGGGTGTGAGCTCTCTTGCACTTGCAGCAGGTATGTGTGACACATCAAGTTTTGTGAGTGTGGGGACGACGTTCTTAGGTCTCCTGTTCAGGACATCCCAGGCTGACTTGCCCTGCCAACGCGTTGGCCCATTTTCTCCCGTCTCAGGTCACTGCAGTTGACTTCCCTGGATTTCAGCTTGCTTGGCTCAGTTTATGGCTCGATAGCAAGACACAGCCTTGGGAACTGTCTCACAGTGAGCAGTTAGCACCCTGGTGAGCCCAGGCCGTGTCTCTCTTGACAGAGATACCGCAGATCCTGGGAGGTAGCTCTGCCCCGTGAGGACAGCGTCCAGGGTGCCTCCTGAAGTTCAGAGCACACTGCAGCTGGCACAGGTCTCAGAACAGAAAGGACACTTGTAGTGACTGTGCTCAGGTGACAGACGTCAGTAAGATTTGTCAGCTTACTGAAGACTCAGGGGCTCAGATTCCCAGCTTCCCTGACCTGATCTCGAGTTCTGGTAGAAACACCAAGGAATCTGCTCTTCTCAGACCCCATTTAGACTTTAAGATGGCTGTTGAATGCTACTAAGGAACTGTTCAAAACTTAGAAATGCTCTCATTCTCTCTCTCTCGGCATTAAGTTTTCCTTTTATTAACTTTTTATTAATAATATCTATTGGAGCCATAATCAACTTTAATATGCTCAAATGCTTATAGACAGAGTGGAATGAATTTTAAATTGTTTTTAATAAGTTCTGCTCTTTTGATCGATGAAAGCAATTTTGCCAGTGACTTTGTAGTAGTCCCACATGGATGGATTTTAAATAATGTTTAATTGCCAAGAAAGTGAAAGAACAAGGTGAGTGATTAATAAACACGGTGTGCAGGGATTTACGGAAGGATGATTTCTGACTGTCAAGGTTCCACGGCTCATCCAGGTACCCATAGCTCGCTGTGAATGGAATTCTCTCCTGTTGCTTCTCTAGTCTAAGCTCAAAAATAGACTCAGTCTGTCTATAAAATAATAGCTGGTACAGATTTTACTGTAAAAGTGGACCTGTTTTAAAATGCGCAGCCATGTTGATTTCAGGGAAATTTCGACTAATGGAAGTAATTAGTGTGAGAGTGAGAACTAATAGCTGTGCCCTCTCTTTTCCTTTTCTTGCGGAAACAAGCCGGGCCTGTGATCTGCAGAATGCTGAGCTACCCGCCCACCCGCCGGGCTCTGATCGTGGGCTGTGGCCTGCAGATGTTCCAGCAGCTGTCCGGCATTAACACCATAATGTATGTATTTCTCTCTGGCTTGTCACTGAAAAGATCGCAAAGGCTGTATTTTACCTGGAAAAAAATAAGATTCTTGGTGGATGCTGTTACTGTGAACTGTATCTCCTTTGGGAAAATATGAATTTGATGGTTTTTTTACAATCCTATAATTTGTAATGAGAAAGAAGTGATTTACTGTGTTTGTTATGATTTATTATTGATGTCATCCAGGACCTCTTTTTATGCTGAGCTAATATTTCATTTTTATAAGCCATTTCTTGATGTGGATTAAAAGGTAAGACAAATGGAAGTCACCTGGCACTGTCAGAACTTCGGGGCACACTCATACCTGGTTCATTCCTTTGGGGCAGTTCATCAATGAAGTGTGATACAGAAGTCTGTTACATCCGGGGTGCAGGGAAGAGGAGACTGAGAGGGAGGGAGGAGAGAAATGGTGAGGCAGAAAGGGTTCCTGTTTTCTGGGTTTCAGAGCAACCACCAGTGTTTTGTGTGTGGGGTGAACTATGCAGGCTCTGCTGTGTCTGCCTCACTCAGTGTCAGGGCTGCGTGTGCAGCCTGGTTTTGTGCGAGGGGCGCAGCTGTGGTAACTATGGCAGTCCTGCTCTCTGGCCGTGCATGGAGTTCAGGCTGATGGTGGAAGCAAGCATTGAAAAGTGTCAGTTAAACCTGGCACTTGACGTTTTAATTAGGGCACACAGGGCTGCCCAGTTCTTCTCCAGGTGGGCCTGTCAGACCCTAGAGAGACACAGATTGTCAGTGAAAAGCTGTGAAGTCTTAGAATCCCCTCACCCTCACCACCTGCTGGGCAGAAATAATCATTAAAGACATAGACTTGAAATTAAATTAAAATGTTCTTGGAAAACCATTTGTATTGGCCACTCTTGATAGCTTCCTTTGAGATTACTTGGGACATAATGAATTGTTCAGTGATGAATGAGAAGAGGAGATAGGTTAAAATATATCTTAAAGTTAACCATCAGGGTCCAGGGACTCATTCGTTAAGAGGAGGATGTGTTAAGAAAACTTCAGGCCAGCGCCGCGGCTCAGTAGGCTAATCCTCCGCCTGGCGGCGCTGGCACACCGGGTTCTAGTCCCGGTTGGGGCACCAGATTCTGTCCCAGTTGCCCCTCTTCCAGGCTAGCTCTCTGCTATGGCCCGGGAGTGCAGTGGAGGATGGCTCAAGTGCTTGGGCCCTGCACCCCATGGGAGACCAGGAGAAGCACCTGGCTCCTGCCTTCAGATCAGCATGGTGCGCCGGCCGTGGTGGCCATTGGAGGGTGAACCAACGGCAAAGGAAGACCTTTCTCTCTGTCTCTCTCTCTCACTGTCCACTCTGCCTGTAAACAAACAAACAAACAAACTTCACTGGTTTTGTGAATTTGACCTTAGTCCTAATCGGCCTGGCTCGACTTGGCTTCCTGGGCTGTCTCCGTAGCCTTTTGTGCTGCACTCCCTCCTTCCCACGTGTGCTTGCGTGCTCCATGGTTGCAGTAGTACTTTGCACAGTCACGTGTTCTCTGGGTTTGCACTTGGTGACTGCTCTGCAGCAAGTCCACCTTGCCAGAGTACAGAATCGCAGCTGGCTAGCACCAAGCTTTCGGGTAATGCAGTACGGTAATAACTTTATCTGAATATTCTAGCTGAGCAGCCTAATAATGTGTTCTGTTCCTGAACATTGTTTTTGGTTGTTCAACCCGTTTCTGGGCATTTAAACTTGGCAAGTTTGAAAGCATAGAAAATGAAGGATTTTTATGGCATTTCTTTGTGTTTTTTTAAAACAGGAATCACAGACGGAGCCCAGTCTAATTGATGGGTAGAGACTAGGGGCAGTGTATTCCCAGTCAAAATGGGGTCACAATCCCTTTGCAATTTCTAGTATACATTTTGCTGATTGAGTTTTTCAAGTTGTAGTAAGTTTCAAATTTCATTTCTCTACATCCTCCATCTTTCCACAGAGATCAAGTGACATAGCATCCTGATATTCCCTGTCACAAAAGTAATTAATGCATTCTGTTCATCACACACTGCACACATTACAGATCATGTTATCCTTGCTGTATTTCAGTATTAATCTTGAAAAAGAGCGAGGATAAAATCAAGCAAATGATGGTTGAACTTGGACTTTGTTTGAAATCCGCGTGGTGTTAATGGGTGCGAGGCAGAGGATTAGACAGTTACTAACGGACACCTATGACAGGTGACTCTGGTTGGTCATATTGTAGGGCAGTGACATCTTCTGTAGGTGCCAGGTTGATAGACTGCACTGCTCTGCATCGTCTAGATGGGTGATGACCAGTCTGGACCTCCTAGAGTGATGCATTTTCTGTTGCTGAGACTAGTTTATAGTCCTGGGAATATTTACAGATCTTTTTTCCATTATTCCTGAGGTTGAATAAATGCCATCATAAACTGTATTCATAATTTAAAATAGTCCCTTAATTAGAGCCTAGGAATTAATTGTTGTAGATTTTAGTAGAAAATGTTTTTTGCTTATTTTAAAATTGTTGTTATCTTTATGTAGGATTCCATTTTTATGCTGACTTCATTATCTGTGAACACTAAAATGATCCTTTTCCCAGCCTGTTTTCTTTTAATTGGAAAATGAAGTAGGCAGTGCTCTTTGATATGCCAGTCCACCCCGAGAGTGTAAAGAAGCTGAAAGTCCTTTTACAAATTCTGTCTTTCATCAGAAATTCTCTGTGAACCTGGAATACGAGATATTTTGAATTCTGTTTCTCACCAAGAAATGTTCATAGAAAAATCATGTGGAAAAATACTGGAAGATAGAACCACCTCAAGTTGTGCTAGCATGTTGCGTTTTCTCTCCTCTTCCTCAGATACTGCTTTATTCTGCCCCCTTGACCTGTTTAATCTTCTGCCTCATTCAAGGAAATAAATGTCCCTTTTGAAATATTTTATTTTCTCCTCCTCTACTGGTGTGTGTTGGCTTAAGTAGCTCAGGTTTGTATAAAAACTCATGTTTATTTATATCCTAACCCACACTTTCTCATCTACCTTATTGAACAGATGCCTTGTAAAAAATACTACCTATACTACCTACTTCAGTTACCGTGTTTAACTTTTAGAAGAGGATATTTTTTAATATGTCCCTGATCACTTAATTTCAAGTATGCAGCTAAATAATTTTCCCATGTTCATAGCATATAGAATACAGGTATATTTTCAGGTACATAACAGACTGATAAAATACTTCCATCTATGTCAAAATAAAAGGAGAGGAGTGATAGCTGAAGGTGATTATGATTAATGTAAAGAAATGTATATATCTAAAAAATATAGAGGCTGGCGCCATGGCTCAATAGGCTAATCCTCTGCCTGTGGCATCGGCACACCGGGTTCTAGTCCCAGTCAGGGCGCCGGATTCTGTCCCGGTTGCCCCTCTTCCAGGCCAGCTCTCTGCTGTGGCCCGGGAGTGCAGTGGAGGATGGCCCAGGTGCTTGGGCCCTGCACCCCATGGGAGACCAGGAGAAGCACCTGGCTCCTGCGATCGGATCAGCGCGATGCGCTGGCCGCGGCAGCCATTGGTGGGTGAACCAACGGCAAAGGAAGACCTTTCTCTCTGTCTCTCTCTCTCACTGTCCACTCTGCCTGTCAAAAAAAATATATATAGAAATAGAAATCTGAGAAAGTCTCACTGTGACCTATTTTAAACTCTAGTTATAATATCATAATTTTCCATTTTCTAAGAAATGTTGTCATATAACTGTTAATAGTTGGAACATTGCCACGTGATCATCAGCACAACTAAATATGCATATGTTTATGTCTGGATGGGTGTGTGTGTACCCATCCAAGGGAGTGGATGGGCATATGGAAAGATGGGTGGATAACTGGATGGGTGGATGACTGATAGGTAGATAGATACAAAGACAGGTGGACAGACAGATTAAAAAAAAAAAACAGATTCAATGTGAGTTTGATAACACTGATTCTTTTGCGAAACTTATAGCAACTTTGTTTTAGCATATTCCGATATGCCAAATATGCCTGACTGTAGTTTGTAAATCAGCCCATCCAGTTGCTATCATCACTTCATCTTGGACAGAGAGAGAGTATTGTATTTTTACCTGAAAAGACAAAGCAGTTAAATGACTCACTTTGGGGTTGTACAAAGAATCAGTGTTAGGGGCTGGCATTGTGGTATGGCTGGTGAAGGTACTGTGTGCTACACAGGCATCCCGTGGGGGTGCAGGTTCATGTCCCGGCTGCTCCGCTTTCCAGTCTAACGATAGCCTGGGGAGGCAGTGGAAAGTGGTCGAGCACGTGGGTCCCTGCCACCGACATGGGAAACCAAGAGAAAGCTCCTGGCTCCAACCCTCCCCAGCTTCAGCTGTTGCAACCCTGTGGAGAGGGAACCAGCAGAGGGAAGATCTCTTTCTGTCTCCCCTCTCTGTCTCTCTCTCTATGTCTGCCTTTCTCATAAATGCATGTCTTTAATTTAATCCCATCAAGGTGGCATGTACCAATGCCATCTCACTAGTCCAAGTGATCAATTTCAGTTCGCAATTGATCATAATGAAAGGACTAAGAGTCAAAGGGAGCACATAAGCAAGTCTAGTACCTGCTAACACTAACTGATAGAATAAATAAAGGGGAGAGTGATCCAACATGGGAAGTGAGATACTCAGCAGACTCATAGAATGGCAGATGCCCTAAATAGCACTCTGGCCTCAGAATCAGCCCTAAAGGCATTCAGATCTGGCTGAAAAGCCCATGAGAGTATTTCAGGCATGGAAAGCCAAGACACTCTGGCAAAAGATCTCTGTGAGTGAGATCTCAGTGGAAAGAACAGGTCTTCAAAGAAGGAGGTACCTTTCTCTGAAGGGAGGAGAGAACCTCCACTTTGACTATGACCTTGTCTAAACAAGATAAGAGTCGGAGAACTCAAGGGGCTTCCATAGCCTTGGAAACTCATGACTGGAGCATAGGGAGATTACTGATGCCATAGACAGGAGTGTCAATTGGTAAAGTCAACAACA